CCCCGCTGGGTTCAGCCTGAGCCCCGCGGCCGCCGGGGTCCCTGAGGACATGATCCGTGGCCAGGCCCCTTCTTGAAGCTGGCTGAGCTGCCACGGCCGCGGGCTCGGCCGCCAGGGGACCTGCTCCCGGGCTGTCGAAATAAAATCTCCAAGGGAGGCCCCCGCTGGCGTGACTTTTGGTTGTTTTGTTTAATATTTGTGCACTTCAAATGAACAAAGCGCCTGCCCAAGGCTGAACCGTTAGAGGACGAATCTCTCTTTCATATCCTTCACGGTTGACTATCTGGCCCCTGCCACCTTTGTGAGTAAGTTGCGATCAGCTAAAAAGAAGCGAATTGGAAAAGTGGGAAACAACATAGGGATGAGAGTGGGCAGAGTATCTGAAAGTGTTTTTTTAACTATATTTGCACTTGATGTTCGTCATCGAGCGTGCAATGTCCTTGGAATGACCATTCGTTTAAAGTCAATGGACTATTTCCTTTTGCTAAATGAAGTGGTGTGGCCTGTAGTCTTCCCACTTAGGTTGTCTAGTACACTTGGTGAATGATTTCTAAACTACTCATTTAAAGTTTTATAATCCAAAGAGATTTTTAAGTGCTTTCTTAAAAACCCCAGGGCATGATCTTCCCGGTGTTATTACGCCTGGTAATAAGATGAAGTTAGCTGTCCACTAATTGGTGTGGTGTTACAGATTGCTTAGTTTATTCTGTGATGCTGGGATCCTTTACTTACCAACCTGTTTCCAGTTGCAAATGCAGTGAAACTGAACCTTAGAAATGAATTGCCTCTGATGCAAAGGAGTGCTGAATAAATTTGCTGATAACACTGAATGGCGCGAAGTCCCAAGAAGCAAAGGAGGTGAATAATTAAACCTAATCATCTAGCCACACTTATCTCCTATTGATTGGGGTGCCCATAGCAGATTGTCAGCTGTTCTGCTTGTCCATACAAGTAGCAGAAGTTTTCAATCCATACTTCACACAAATCGTCTTATATTATTTCACTTGCCAGAAAAGTATTGATCATAGGGTCTAAAGTATGGCCTCATTCTAAACTATATGGCCACGTCCATGTGAGTGTGGACATGTGGTGTGTGGCGCCACAGACCCTGTACTGCTACCTTGCAGTGAGGGATTTTTTTGACCCCGGGAGAAGAAAAACCCATGCTACAAAAAAGCAGAGCAGTGTGCATGGTAGCAGTGTGCAGCTCACATTGTTGTGGCAGTGTGCACGGCCCAAAACTGGAGCCTAGCCAGTCAGAACTGTACTCTAGCTGCTGGCCAGGCTCCCATTGCAGAAGTGCCATGGCTGCAGCTCCCTGGGGCTGCTGGGGTCAGTACAGTTGCTGGCACCAGCCTCCCCCCTACCCCACCCAGGGTAACCTGCTGCGCACCAGGGCGCATGTGGCACGGATGGCACAAGGTGCGGCTACTGCTTGTCCCTGGGGAAACAAACATCCATACTCATCGGGACGTGGCTTATTTGTCTAACTGTAATGAAAACAACCATTTTATGATATACTTGTTTTTTAAATATTTTTCAGTATTTTTTAACTTGAAAAATACAGGTAATTATCAGTGTTTCCCACTTTTTGAAAACCTCCTCAGTCTTCACAGATATGAGCCAAAACATTAAGATGTGAAAATTTACAATTTTGGAAATGTTTTTCTTTCCAGGCTTTGAAATATACAAACCGGAGTTATGCGTCCCAGCGAACTTTAAATGTAAGTAGTGTACTCCATTTATGTGTACTGGATAAGTGTATAACTTGCTTTACTGCGTTGTTCAAAGCCAGTCCTAGCTTGTTGTAACAAGTATCAGCTCTCTACATGTTGCTAAGAGCATAAATTCATTGTTGTGGTGGTTCTCAACCTTTTTAGTCTCAAGGTGTGAAGAAATCTTCCTCTGTCTATCCCTGGATTGGGACATTTTGGGTTGAGGGAGAATGTAACACCCACGTACACTGTGCTCAAGTGTTTCTGGATTTATTTTGCTGTCTGTCTTGTTTGTGCTGTATAGCTTGCTTCCTTTGGGACTGGAGAGGACCCCCTCCTTTCCCCTCCTTATTGTGTCCAGACCCTTTGTCTTAAGTTTCCCTCCAAGAAACCTGTGGAACCAGTTCGGTGACTTTGGTCACTTCACTGGGGGTACTGGGGAAATGATTCAGTGGCGACACGTAGGGTGTACATGGGGGTGCATGTGCACCCCCTGAGAGTGCTGGTACACCCTGTCAGACAGCGTTCCTGGGCAAGGGGGGCAGGTGAGAGTGTTGGTGGCCCCCCGAGAGTGCCAGCCAGGGAGTGCGCCAGGAGGAGCGGTCCCCCCACAGCCAATCATGCTGACTTGGAAGTGCCATCGGCATGCCGCTCTGCCAGCTGCAAGATGGCAGGATCAGCTGTGGGGGGACCCCCTCCCCCCTCAGCCTGCGGGATCAGTCATGGGGGGGTGGGAATTGGCTGCAGAAGGACCCCCCCAACTCTCTGACTGTCCAGTCGGGTGGGCACCAGTCGCCCATGAAATAATTGTTCTGCATCAGCAGGGTTCAAATAATGCCTGGTTCTGTTTGCCCACCTAACAGTGCATGGGACCCTTGAAAGGATCTCAAGGTGCCCCAAAATGCCATGGTACCCTGGTTGAGAACCAGCACTTAGCATTTTCCATCTCTGTTGTCTGTTTAGCAACTCCCTTTAGCTGCATGCTAATTGTAAATTCTGACTTTGTAACTCACTTTACATCTTTCAGCTGTGCCAGAAACAGCAAAGGGGAAGCGGATATCAAAGTGCTATCTTCATTTGAAAATGATTGTATTTAGTCAGTTTCAGGACTGCTAACTCATGATTCAGTAAATGCTATAAAATGGCTTACAGCTAAAACTAAAGCATGTAGGTAATGTATACCAGTAGACATGCAAAAACAGTCCATTGCAACCAGGTTCTGGTGAAAACATTTTGACATTCTTAATATTTTGTTACTTCAGAGTTCAGCGGGTAGTGGAAAACAAGTTAACAATTATTTGCTTAAACATTTCATGTTGCAGTAGTGCATAGAGGTTATTACCGCTTTGTAGTTCACTGTATTGCACATTTTCACAAACATGAACAACAGGTATTGCTCCAAAGAACCTTCAGTTTAAAAGACAAGGTATAATCTTGGAGAAATGACAATGACTTTTACATTTTATTCCTTTCCATTAGGAAGTGGTGATAGCAAGTGCTGTAAGGACACCTATTGGATCTTTCCAGGGATCTCTCTCATCATTGCCAGCCACTAAACTTGGTTCTGTTGCAATCAAAGGAGCAATTGAAAGAGCAAGTACGTGCAAATATTTGCTTGCAGAAGTTACACATGACCAGATGAACAGTACTAGTTTGTATCTTGTTTTGTAAAACATGTTCCTTAAAAAAGAGGGGAGCATTGCTTTTTTTTTTGCATAGCTTTTACTTTTAGCTAAGCATGTGAAAAGTATGTAAAGCCTGATAGGTTAGTGTCTGTCTTTTATTTTCAGTGTTGCTTTTAAGAATGGAATGTTGGTTGGTGGCTTATGTGAAATAAGATGTTACTCCAGTTCCTACGAGATGGATGTCCACACCACAAAATGTGATAGTCTGTGTGGCAGTTACAGATTGACCAGCCATGAAAACTGAATCGCCCTACTGGACTGGGGATTCAGTGACTGGCAGGTCACTAAAACCAGCCCAGATCTTGGCTTTACTATTCTTATTCTCTGAGAGAGGTCATTCTGGGAGAGGACTTTGGAAAGAGCCATCATTAGAGCATATTTCAGGTACAAAATGGTGTGGAAACCCATCTTGATATGGTTCTTTCCACTCTTGTTTAGCCTTGCTATGATGGATCTCATGCATTTTATTTATATTTTGGACTGTAAACCTAGAGTGTTTCTCCTGTCCCTTACAAAATCCGTGACGGGTTTATTTCATAGGCATCCCTGCAGAGGAAGTGAAAGAAGTGTACATGGGTAATGTCCTGCAGGCTGGACAGGGGCAAGCTCCAGCAAGGCAAGCTGTATTGGGTGCAGGTATTAATTCTCTCCTTTGTTTCTGGACTTGCTGCATAAAAATAATGAAAATGTAAGAAGCTAGTTACATTTAAGTACAGATTGTAACAGACTTCGTTTTTCTTTAGTTATTAAAATTCTGTGAAAACTGTTGCTAATAGTGACAAACAACCACTTCTGGTTGTTGGTATGTAATGGCTGCTAAAGGCTACAAAGAAATGTAAGCTACAGAGAAATATTAGAATAATATATGTGTTTATCTTATGTAATTGTATACTTACTTGCTTCAGGTTTACCAATCTCAACTCCTACTACAACTATCAATAAAGTTTGTGCTTCAGGAATGAAATCAATCATGATGGCAGCACAGAGCCTAATGTGTGGGAATCAGGTATGTGACTTTTAGAACCATTTAAGTAGAAATATGACTGCTTTTTGAGTTGTGGAGATGTTGAAATCATGACTCCTGAGAGAGACCAAACTAATGTTATAATATTGCCCTGGTAATTATACTCCAGTTTGGGTTTGTGCTAATACCACTTAGCAAGTTTTTATCAGACTATACAACCTAAATTTGTAAACATATAAATATGACTTTGTTTAGGTACCCCCACATTTATAAACTGTATATTTACAACTTGTCTTGCATATATCTTTAGAGCTGAGCACAAAATTTTCTGGCAGTTTTGAAAACTAAAGGCAATGTTTTATTTTGGGTTGAACCAAAATATACTTTTCTAAAAACATCAGTTACAGCCATTTGGCTTGCTAACACTGCATAGCTGTTTTCAGTTAATGTCTTCATTTCTGTTCCATAAAAATATAAGTAATTGGTTTGTTTTTGCAGAGGTGGGGAGGGGCAGTCATTGGAAATATGATTGTCTTCATTGAGCTCTTTGTTGACAACTTGTGTGGTAGAATTCGCTATAAAACAACTTATTGTGCAATTTTTATTTGTTTGAGCAGGATGTAATGGTGGCTGGTGGCATGGAGAGCATGTCTAATGTTCCCTATGCAATGATCAGAGGAACTACACCTTATGGAGGAGTAAAGTTGGAAGACTTGATTGTGAAAGATGGGCTGACTGATGTTTACAACAGCATCCATATGGTAAGTTTTGTTGTTCAAGACCTGAAAACTTTTTATTTAATTGAGTGTCAACCCTGAGCCCACCATGCAGCTAAAAAGTTTAGCTGCAATGGTTTAATTGTTAGAGTAGGCATACCTGGGAATGAAAGACAGAACAGGTTCTAGGGAGAAGAGTTCTTCTCTTTACAGAATCCTTATTGCAACTGATGTGCAGAACTTTGGTAGAGCATCTGGATGCAGATCAAGTGTCAGCTGTTTGTCTAACTGTTTAAAGTTTTTTTTTTTTTTTCTTGCGAATCTGGCACATGGGTAGACAGGAGCTGAAGCTCTAGACTTACTCCATAGAATGCAGAATCAGTCACTAATGGGTCACTTCAGTTGTTGCAGAGTGACTGGTAAAGTAGCTCAACTTCTCTGAGGTTGTTGTGGTCCACCTGTTTCTCTTCTTCAGTATGTATATGAGGTTCCAAGACAAGATTGGACTGAGATTTGAGAAAATTGGCATGTTTGTTTATCTGACCTTCACAAAAGCTCATAGCTTTATGACAGACAAGGTTCCTTGGGTGAATTTGATATCTTTTATTAGATCAACCCAAATAGTTGGAGAAAAGTTATTAAGCAAGCTTTCGGGTTCAAAAACCATTCGTCAGGCTAAGGAAGTTTCAGCAGTTGGTGTGTGCTCTTCCTGGATGGAATGACAAGTAAAGAAGCCAGGGGCTGGGCTGGGGAGTCAGTTGCCAGGCAGATTATAACGTGTCAAAAATCCAATGTCTGTATTTAGTCCATGATCTCTAGTATCCAGGAGGTTGATGAAATGGAGCTCATAGGCTCGTCTCATACAACACTACCCAGAGACGAGCCTATGAGCTCCATTTCATCAACCTCCTGGCTACCAGAGATCATTTTTTGATACATTATAATCTGCCTGGCAACTGACTCCCCAGCCCAGCCCCTGGCTTCTTTACTTTTCATTCCATCCAGGAAGAGCACACACCAACTGCTGAAACTTCCTTAGCCTGACGAATGGTTTTTGAACCTGAAAGCTTGCTTAATAACTTTTCTCCAACTATTTGGGTTGGTCTAATAAAAGATATCAAATTCACCCAAGGAACCTTGTCTGCCTATGTCCTTAGACCAACACGGCTACAACCTAAACCCCTGCATAGCTTTATGATGAATTCAGAAAAGACTGAAATGTGGCAGATGTGCGTAGTAAAGCATCAGCTGTTCTTCTCATTGCAGCAATATTTTCAGTCTTTTGACTTAATTCTTCAAAATCTTGGGGTGTTATTGGATTACTTTGCTTCGCTTCGTAAACAGCAGCAATTGTCCAAAGAATTATTTATCATTATCTACTGGCCTGAGTATTGACATTTTTACTCTTTGATATTCTTTTCCACAACTTGCTGGCTGGTGTAGCAGCATATGTTCCTTTAGCCTGTACTTAAAACTACCCAGATTTTTCAGCAAATGCAAATCCTGGTTGTCAACATCTGATTTGGGGCATGCAGACAACAACACACAGTTGTGCTCTCTGTTGGCTTCTAATCTGCTTCTGGGATTTTGATTATGACATGCAAAGTCTTGAAGCTTTAGAGATTTTCTGTGCTCCATTTTGGCAGCTGTAGTCTGCTTGAAGTCTTGTTTGGTGACTGGAGGCATGGTAGGGAGCACATATGCTGCAGTTTAGGAATTTATTCGTACTTATGTTCTGTCAGAGTGCAGTGACCTAGATGCTATGAAGCTTTTGAATGTCCTGGGTAGATAGAGGAAGATAAAAATTAACTTGTTTGTACCAGTCCTGTAGTTCATCAAATAGACTGATCTCTACACAGCATTTGTATTTATTTAACTCGCTTTCAACGCAGCACAAATGTAACCCTAATGTTCATGGAGGCTCTAGCAAGGTTAATTTAGTGATCAGTGAGGAGAGGGATCTATCTCTGTGACCCTCAGAATACAGGCAGTCCTCGGACTTATGACGCAATTGGTTCCTGAAAACTGTGTCTTAAGTCGAAATATTGTAACTCGGAACCGATTTTTCCCATAGGAACAAAGTTATATAAATGGGGGGATTGGTTCCTGAACCAAGGCCCAATACCCTATTTTCACCAAAAATAACCCAGAATTTTGTACTTAATCAATTATACATGATTAATATAGCTACATTGATGTATTTTTATTGTAAATAGCAATCATATTGATTTGGAAGGACTTCTTTGAGGTGACTTTGCTGGACTTTTTGAAGGGTTCTTGGCTGGAGTTTTCTCAGGAGTCTTGGCTGCAGGGTTTTCTGAAAGCATCTTCTTTCTTAAAGAAAGTGTCCAAGGAAGTTTGGATAGATGTTCTCCAGGGAGATGGGCGACACAGCGAACTTGTTCGCTGGTGTGGCATTGTGTTGGATCAAGTGTTCTAAAGTCGAAACTGATATCAGAAAGTTAAAACTGGGTGTCAATTTATAAATGTTGTAAGTGTGAAACATTGTAACTCAACATTGTAAGTCAAGGACTGCCTGTAATTGTGATGTGAACTGCTTGGGTCAGGTGATTTGTACAGGGGATGTATTACCCTTCATTTCTGTCATCAGCTCCCTAACCCATGTTTGTAGTGTTTGACATTTGTAACCATCTGGCTGTAACACCTTTGGCTGTTCAGTAACTTACATGAAATGACATTGATTATTTCAGTCAAGTGTACACGGTTGTCAGACTGCTGAGAATCAAGAGCTGACAGACTTGGGATTGAGCTATCCTTTTGACCCAAGTAGGCCCACCAGAATAGGAAGGATACACATTCATGAGACAGTATAGAGGTACCATTCTGTATCTAAATGGAGGGATTAGTCTTCCAAAATGTCAGTCAAAGCCCTTTCATTAACATTAAATTCAGAGATTTTTAACTTCAAAAGGCCTCCTCAAGAACATTGCTCTATGGCTTTAACTATGTAGGTCCAGAGAATTGTCCACCAAATTCTACTGGTGAAGTGACCATTCCAGCAGCAATTGTCATAATAAAACAGTAACTGTCAGAAACTGATATCAATGTTGTAGGTGTCAGGAGATGGGCATGGGGTGGTTAGCTTTAAGAAGGGGCGCATCTAGAATTTTGAAAAGGTGTCGAGGTGCATTATCACATATAAAGCAACACACATTTTTCTCCAGTTAAAAATAAACTAGACGCTTTACTAATGTCCCAGGGACCTAGGGTTGTATCATTCAGTTTAAGATTGAAGCAAAAACAAAGAGAACTTCATTGGAATGAGATAAAAACAGTCTGCTGGGCTGTGAAACAGGAGTTTCATGACCAGGAGCAGCTAACAAACAACAGAATTGCAGAACAAAGGATAGCTTGACTGGTGGAACATCAAGACTATTGAAAAGGAGATAGGGTTATTAACACTTGTGGAATGAAGAGTTTAGAAGAGATCAGGTAGATTACAACGAGCCATGAAGTCAAATGACTCCCTCAACACTGCCTGACTAGAAATGCTGCTGTCACAGCCAGGCAGTTGGTTTTAAACTGTGGGTGGACTGGGAATCAAAGCAGGGTGCAAGTGCACCAGTGCACATCCCCTGAATCCACCCCTGGCTTTAAGCTATGTTTTTGAATGTGACTCTCAAAATGATAAACTGTACGTGAGTGGTTTTCCCCAAGGGTAATTGTGCCGAGAATACTGCCAAGAAGCTTACCATTTCACGTGAGGAGCAAGACACTTATGCCATTAGCTCTTACACAAGGAGCAAAACAGCTTGGGAATCGGGACTACTGGCAAAGGAAATTGTTCCTGTCTCTGTTTCACAAAAAGGTATCAGTGATTTGTTTTCTTAAAGGATGCTTGTTTTTCCAGTGGAGGATACAAACATTGCAGTGCACATCTGCTAATTTCAGGAATAGCTTTCCCCCCCATTAAATCTGCATAGGAACTTTCTGGGAAACTGTATGTTATTTTATAGGATCATAGGAAAGTGTATCTGGAAGGGACCTTGTGAAGTCATCTAGTCCAGTCCCCTGCATAAGGCGGGATCATCCCTGACCTAAACCATCCTAGCCAAGTGTCTATCCAACCTGGTCTTGAAGATTTCTGAGGAGGAGGCTTTCCACATAGCCTGTTCCAGTGCCTGACCACTCTCATAGTCAGAAGTTCCTCCTAATCTCCAACCTAAACTTCCCCTCCTACAGCTCGAGGCCATTGATTTACTTCTGTTTCCTATGGTCACTTTTTTTTTTTCCTTTTCTGCTTTTACTGTGGCACGGGAGTTGTCCATCCTTGTTCTGTCATGTATATGAGTGGTTTATAGGGTGCATGTGCTAACTGACGTGGCATGGTGTTTGTTACTGGGATTTAATGTTAGCTCTTAGGTAGTAGCACTGAAGTAATCAAAAACACTTAAACAAGAATAGTCCGTTCTCTGAAGAGAGCGTTTATTGAGCACAGCAATTTGCAATTTCAAGCATATGACCAAGAAACAACAGAAAACTTTACCTAAAGCCTAAGCTAAGATGCAACCAAATAAGACCCAGCAACAACACACACACTTAACCTAAATCAAGATGCGACAGAAATTTTGCATAAGTTTTATGTAGTCCTGAGGACAGAGGATTTCTGCAGCCAGGCATTCAGAAGTTCTGGGGGAGTCCACTGGTCATCTTAGCTGGTGAGAGCAGTCCCACAGGTTTAATCTTTTCCAGGGCTTTTATGGGTTATTTGCATCCTCCTCTCCCCCTTGGATGGCATGTCTTTCACGTATTCTGTGACTCTCACACTTTCAACATCCAAATTTTCTGTCTCTTGCCCCTTGCAGGTTTTACTTTGAAATGTAAATGTAGCTTCCTGCTGCCCACTTTGAAATGTAGCCCCCTGAAGGGCCCACACTTGTTATGACTGTGCCAGGTTTTTGCCAACAGTATTGCATCATATCCTTTTTATTTTTAATTATTTTTATAGCCAGAAAAGATCTGTGCTCTCCTCTCAGCACCCTGCTGGGAGGATTAATTGATAAAGGTCTCTTACTAGTCCTCTTGCAAGAAAATGAGATGCAAGTATAAACTTGTTTTCACGCGTCTCTCGATAAAATGCAACTTTTTTACTCTAAAGAGAGACATGACTTAAATCATAGTAACATTTAATTTAAATCTGTTTAGGATGCCTAAAATGACTCTAGCATAGAGTAGACATTATAGAACTTACCATTTAGCAGATTTTTGGATATAATCAGGACAAGAACAAGTTTGCCCTGTGTATGTATCTTTCCATGCCAAAAACTGACTGAGCTGGTTTGCACTTGAAATTGGTTTAGTAAATGAAGTCTCAATTTCAGGGAAGCCAGATATAGAAATGAAAGAAGATGAAGAGTACAGGCGTGTTGATTTCAGTAAAGTTCCAAAACTGAAGACTGTTTTTCAAAAAGAAAATGGTAAGTACAGCATAGCAAAAAAACAACTGTTCCTTCTAGAGAGAAAACCGTGTTAGATATTCTCTGCATTTGGGCAATCAGTGAACAATGCAGTCTCCATCTGAAAGTACAGAAAGAATTTAAGCAGACTATGACTTCTGAACTTGGATGTTGGCCAGGGTATTGGGACTAAAACATGCACAATAGCTTTTCATTTAACTTGGGTTTTCTGGTGATTACCAAGTAATATGCTAAAGGAGAGGACAAAATGCATCACATTTTTAATCAAAAGATTTCCATTGGTTCTAATAACTCTACTTGCAGTAGAAGGGTGACCTGCTTTCCTGGCAACAGGAACTCTTGTTATTTCTGTCTTTTGATTGAGTTCTTCTAAAATATCCCAGTAGGAGGATCTCGCTGTTTTTCTGCTGGTCACAGTAGGGTTCAAATGCTCAGAAGAATGTCTAAGCTGTCAAGATCAAGTTATGTTACTTAGTAACACTGTTTTAAGTTTGGAACCACTTTGGTTGATGGATGAAAGGCATATTATTTTTCTCTATGGCACTGTGAAGGTGAAGATAACATAAAGGCAAGCGTCTGAATTTGTTAATCATCATTTATACTTGGCAGCATCCTCCGTGGTATGGAGAATTGGTCAGTAGCCAACAGTGGAGAAATGCAGTTTGTTGCACACTTAGATTTGTTGTTTTTTGTTAGCTGTGATATCCTGAATGGCTCCTGCTTATTAGGGCTGTGCAAAGCTTCGGATCATGATTCGGATTCAGGGATGATTCGAAGGCCAAATACATGAATCTGAATCGAATCACTGGAAGCTTTAGGCTTTCTGAATTGATTCAGAGCTTTCGAATTGATTCGGAAAAGAGTCGGCCATAGGGTATAATGGGGAATCAGTGAAATATCTATAACTTGGTTGTCTTTTGACTGATTAAGATGAAACTTGCAGGGATGGTAGCCTCTGCTGAGGCCACAAAGCGTGCCAAGTTTCAAGGAGATAGGTGCAGGGGTTTGGGGGAAACTGCACCTCAGGTTGCTGACAAGCAAAACTTGTGACATGGGTGACCCTGTGTGTGTTAAGGCGCAGCAGGGTGACAGCTGCAGGCCTGCTAACCCCTGCGGAGGCCATGAAGCCTGCCAGCTGTTAAGGAGATAGGTGAAGGGGCTTCTGGGTTCTGGAGCCCTGCGCCTCTAGCTGCTGACAGGCAAAACTCGTGACATGGGTGGTTGTGCAACTGTGTCTGTCTTGGAGCACATGGGGGGCGGGGAATGACTGCAGGCCTGGCTGCTAGGCAACTCTGTTACCAATCAGTCATGATTCACACAGGTACCAGCTCAATGCACAGTAGCTAGCTACTAGATAATGAGTTAATGAGCAAAGATTAACACCTACAAAACCATAAACTAAGGAGAGGAAAGAATCAATGCAGAGCCGGGAATTGCTTCTGCTCCAAGACAGAAAGCAGAGGCTAGCAGGCCTGCAGCTTTCACTCTGCTGTGCCCTAACACACAGTGTCACCCATGTCATGAGTTTGCTTGTCTGCAGCTTGAGGTGCAGTTCCCCCCAAACCCCTGCACCTATCTCCTTGAAACCTGGCAGGCTTCGTGGCCTCAGCGAGAGCTACCACCCCTGCAGTTTCCACCCCACTGTGGCTTAACACACACGTGACATGAGTTTTGCCTTCACGGCTTTGAGGTGCAGTTTCCCAGAAACCACTGCACCTATCACCTTGAAACTTGGCACATGTCATGCTCTCAGCAGAGGCTACCATCCCTTCAAGGTTCATCCAAATCAGTCAAAATACAGCAAAGTTATAGATATTTCATTGATTCCCCATTATATTCTATGGGTGAATCTCTGAATCGGCTCCAAATCTTCTGAAGTGATTCGGCTGAATCGAATCAGAAAAACGATTTGGATCTCCGAATTGGCCAAATCTGAATCCAAATCAAATAGTTCCCTATTTGCACAGGCCTACTGCTTATGGCTCTGGGATGGGCTGTCATTTTTTTTTCTCCTTGATGCTGCTGTTAGTTTGGGTGATTTGGAACTGCAGGGATGACCTAGAATTGGACATGGAGTTTCCTTATTCATGAAAAGCTAACCTTAGTGGAAAAATTATGAGTTTCCTGTAGAGAGGGACCCGTATCAGGGGTGTGACTAGTAGTAGCTGAATCTCTTTTGCCTCAAAAATATTGTTACACATTATGGAATACCACTTTTAGCACTGATCCTTCTGTTCATGATCTTTCACAAGGTGTATCGGTTTAACTAAAAGGGTGCTTCCAAATCTATTTGAAACCAATGCAAACCTAGACAGTTATGATGAAGCAGCCAATGTGCAATATGTCCCCCTGCCCTCTCTCAACATGTTACAGTTTGTTCCAAACATCTATACTCTAAATCAGTGTACTTGCCCCTCTTTGCAGTCTGGGGGTAAATTGGCACAGTGGTAAGATTACCATTTACCTACATAAGATAAGTAAATTTAAATCAGTTTAAATTTAAATCAATCCACGTGGCGATTTACACTAGATTAACTTTGAGTAAAAACAGTGTAATGTGGGTTGAAGACCTCTGCAGACAATTGCATTGGCAAAAGATAGCTGAGCTGTTGTACTTTTTCCTCTTGTTTGCCTACTGTTCTTGGTGAAATTATTTGTTTACAGGGACGGTCACAGCTGCCAATGCCAGCACGTTGAATGATGGAGCAGCTGCTTTGGTTGTGATGACTACAGATGCAGCCAGGAGACTTAATGTCACACCGCTGGCGCGAATAGTAGGTAGGGATTTTTCTGAATCACACTTCTCAAGTGCAGTACTGAAAAATACCCCTCTAATTTTGCCATGAACCTACAAATCTTGTTTTATTTGGGGAGAGTCATGAAGGCAGTTCATTGGATGGGATGGTGCAGCTACTATAGAACCCAAGTTATATTTTTTAATTCAAGGAGCCAAACACACTTGTAGGAGGGTCTGGTTATGATTAGGAATTCAAGTTTGGGACCAAGTTTGGTGTTTTTGAGGTAAAATGTGAAAAGTTTCACCCTGTTTGTGCAAGGCTATGAACTGTAGATATATCTGTTCTCAAGAGTCATTGTAAGAGTCAAAATCTCTCTTTTCTTCAGTAAGTTAAAATGTACTGGGAATGTGAGCTTTGCCATGACCATTGCTTTTGGGAAGAACAGTAGTGGTTTTCAGTAGTGTTTATGATCTTACAGCTTTTGCAGATGCTGCTGTAGCTCCGATTGACTTCCCAATTGCACCTGCGTATGCTGTTCCTAAGGTAGGAACCAAATTGATCATGGCTGAACAGGAAACTGCAAGCTTGCCTAACTATGGGCCATGCCAGTGACCCACCAGGGATTTTCCTAGTACACCTAATGCTTTTCTCATATGTATCCTTATTGTAGATATCTGGTATGGATGGTAGTGCAAAAGTGGAAAAGATTGTTTATATTGTGATTGCTGTAACCAGGAATTATTCCCATGCAAAATACACATTCAGCTTTCTGGCCTTGTTCCTCAGGGAACACTGGCACCTTTGAAATCTGCTCACTTTTAAAGACAGTAAAAGTAGTTTTGAGCACTGTACTTTACCCTCCTAGGCAATGGAGACCCTGAAGTTACATACCCCAAATAAACTGGAAAAACGTAGAAAAAATGTGTTACAGCATACAAGGCATGTTTGTACTCAGCACTGAAGAAATCTGAGCTAAAATCTCAGTTGGTTAATAATTATTCTAAGTCTGTCAAACAAGAACTTGTTTAATAAACTGAGGTTTTATCTATACAGGAAAGACCTCTTTTATATTACCTAGGGCATGTATGTATATAAACAAGTGTTCTCCCAGGTGGACACTTGTATTCTAATAGGAGTGCTTTTTCAGGTTAGATTTTGCTTGGGGAGGGGCTTGGATAAATCATAATGAAAATGCTCACCCATATCACTGATAGCTAAAATTTTCTGGTGTAGGCAAGACCTTAATTCCTTTTAGGGAAATGCATATTTGTACTTGGGTATAAGATTAGTTCACCTCTGTGGACAAGTTACTGTGACCAGTGTGGGTGGTAACTTTCCAAAAGAAAGTTGAAAGTGGTTATATATACAGGAATTTTTTCTAGGTTCTCAGCGAGGCAGGTCTGAAAAAGGAAGATGTTGAGATGTGGGAAATCAACGAAGCGTTCAGTGTCGTGGTCTTGGCCAATATCAAAATGCTCGGTATTGATCCTCAGAAGGTGAACATACATGGAGGGGCTGTCTCTCTGGGACATCCAATAGGGTATGTAAAGCAATGTGGTGTTTCTGCTGAACTAGGGGCCACAAACACCACCTGTGCCTCAGGGAGTGGAGGTGGGGTATGTGCGCTGCAGGAAGCACTCCACCAAACTGGTCCCAAGTGCTGGCTCAGGGCTGGTCAGAATCTGGTCCCAAGCCATGTGCGCACACTGGAGCCAACACACAGGGCTGCCTGGGGTGGTGCATGCAGTGTGCACCTTGTACCAGTCCCTCCTGCTGTTGCCAATGCTTATAGGTGCCAAGTCTATTCCATGCATTGTGGGTAGCACAAGTTGCAGTGGAGCCAGCACATAGTTCATGGGGTGGTCTCTGTTGAGGGTGCTGTTTGCAGCACAGGGGGCCTCCAGACAGCCTTGTATGCTGGCTCCAGCACAGCCCGATCTGGACCAGCCCTAGACCCAGTGCACAGGATTGGTGTGACACAGGTTGTGTGTGCAGCTCATGCCCCAGACCAACCCAATGTACCATGAGCAGTGTCTGCAGCACTGGGTCTAGTCTACTGCATGCAAAGTCAGTCTAAGACCTGTGGGCTTTGTTTGATAGCTGTAGCTTAACACAACGGTGTAGTGGTGCACTAGCACTGCTCTGTTCCTGTCTCAGAGCAGCTCACAGAATCCTGACTTCCTCCAAGCTAAATGGTCTTTTCTTCTATTCTAGAATGTCTGGCGCAAGAATCGTGGCACACATGGTCCATGCACTGAAGCAAGGACAGCATGGTCTTGCAGGCATTTGCAATGGAGGAGGTGGAGCTTCTGCTATACTGATCCAAAAGCTGTAGATGGCGGTCTGAAATGTTAGGCCTTAAACTTAGTAATAATCAAGTATCTTAAATGGTGGCTGTTACATTTTATTTAAGAATTTGCAGACTACATAAACCTCTGGCAGCTGCAGCTTAAGTATTTCTTCAGAGCAAGTCAGAAATACTGACATCTGTTTTTTATTACTTCAGTCTGAACAAAAATGTGTCTAATTATGGAAAAAAAATACAAACTGTCAGAAGCCAATAAAGGTTGTATCCTTACGCTGATTCAGGACTTTCATGCAAGTGATTTACAGATCATTTTCCTTGGTTATATATTGCTGGTATCAAGTTACTTGCACCTCTTTAACACAGTTTAATTTTGAAGTCAGTAAAAGCTGCTTGAAGCTTTTTCATGAAATTATGATGGTTACTTTCTAACTGTTTTAGTATTGCAGATAGACTCCCACACTGTTTGAAAAGAATTTATCTTGGCCACAGCTGTATACATTTCTCTAGGAAGTAGCTGGAATATCAGCTCTTCCGTTGAGAATTTCTGCAGCGCTTGTTTAGCATTGGTTACCTTATTGTTATTAATAGTAACCAGCATCAGGGGGAAGACAAGTTTGGCAGCCAGAACTGAACTGTACACAGAAAATGGCATCTTCACTGTGTGCCAGCTAGGCTCTGAATCACTGTTGTATAGGCAGGAGAACCACTAAATCTGTGCAGCCTGATTCTGGTGGCAAGACATCATTAAGTTTCCCACTCTACTGTGCTCTATGAGCAGAAAACTCCAAGATACCTGGAAGATTTTTTTAAAAGAAAGAATTGCTAAAAGCACATACATTTGTGCTATTCATACTAATGAAACAGGCCTTAGCATCCAGTTTAAATTCTCAAGGGTTTGTATGCATATTACACAAGTTTTTAAGGCCTTGGACTTCTAGAAGATGTACCCCTGTAAGAAAAGCTGTTGCTGAAGTACCCAATCTGTGTGGTAATATTTCAGCTTACTAAAAACAAACTGTGAAGACAGTTACCAGGGGAGAGCAGAGGTATCACACTCAGGCTCCATGTGATGTGCAGACTAGCCTGAGCTCCACAGGTAGCACCAAGGGAGAGATCCAGTCCACATCTTTGATCAAATCTCAGAAGGAAAGGATCCTTTAGCCCAGGGCTGTCAATTTACCTAGCAACTTTTTAGGGAACTAGTGGTGCAGGTGGCCAGCTGCATCACACTCTCAGACGATTATACAGCAACACTTAATTCCTGATGTCTACCACTTTCTTTACAGCTGCTTTGAATTCTGACCTTCACAATATACCGTAGTGGGGCTTATTTCTGTTCCTCCCAAAAGAATGAAAGCAAAGGAGAAAAAATTCACTTGCATTTTCCCCCCTAAAAATAGCTCTTACCTGTAATATCCAAACCAGAATACACAGGCAGAGGCTGCAGTAGATAACTGTAGCTTAAACTAGCTTCACAAGTAGTTACAAATGTTATTTTTTTAGCTTAAAACATGAACAGTTGTTACCCACTCATAGTTTTTATAGCATATTTCTGAAAAAAGCCTGTACACCAATCTTAAAACAATGTTGCTTACAAGCTTAATTATTAAAGCTTGAGCCGGGAGTTGAGCATCCCTGGTCTACACTGTCTGGAGCAGGGATCACAAGACTTGGTTTATTAAATTGGTTCAAGACTTGAACATGAAGCAGGGAAAAAATGAGCATAATAGTAGAGATTTTTCCTTAATCACAAGCTTGTCTCTGTTTCTCCAACACAGCATTATCTGCTATATTTTCCAGGAAAAAAGACCATAGAGGTTTTTGTGCAACATAAGGAAGGAGGAGAGGGTGTTAATCAGTAATAGAAAAGTGTCTGAGCATGGAAGAAATAGCCTTTTCCAAAAAAAAGACTGCACATTAAAACATCAGCTGTGCCACTTAAATTTCATGCTCTAATAGTTGGCAGTAGTTATTAAAAATAGATCTCAACATTCATGTTTCACACCATTCATGCAACATGTGACTGATAAATGCATTTCTACAAGAAGTGGGTAAAATGAGCCCTCTACAAAACACTACATTTGATACACAAAACTGGATTTAAACAATATTTATTCAAGCCTTAAATGCTATGCAGTATTAACTTATTGAATGGGTTTAATATAAACAGCTACTGCATAATATTTTGTTCCTTAGGAATCCTTGTATGCTATTTGAAACATTGCCCTGTCCCTGTACAGATCTCTTACAACAAGAAAAAGCCAACTAATACATTGTTTAAGAGTTCAACAGTGTGAGAACAGATGAAAAAAACATGCCACAGTGCCTGTGAAGAAAAGCAGAACTATTGGGGTCTACAATACCCAAAGCTATGCCCACCTTTTTTGCCCCTTGGGCTAGATGGGCAGAGGGACCAGGTCTTGTCTGTGGGCTGGATCCAGCTGGTAAGCTTGATCTGGCACCCAGGGCCAGTGTGGCAGGGACCTGATCTGGCCACTAGGGTGAGATGCCCAGCCCATCAGTAATCCAGCTGCCTAGTGGGGCCAGGAGTTGCCAGGCCCTGATCTGGAAGTGGGGGAAGCATCCTGGCCTCAAACAAGGGCAGAGGAGGGAAGGGAGGGGACAGGAAGCAATCCAGCCCCAATCCAGACTTGCAGGTGGAGGTAGAGGGGAGGAATGGCACCTGCCCTGATCATGGGATGAAGGAGGGAGGTAGGGGGAAGAGGGTGGCTCGGAGTGGAGTGGCGTGGCCCCAGCCTAGCCTCAATCTGGGTGCAGAAGGGGGGGTGGGGGGGAAGGAGATGAGGAGCAGCCCAGCCTGATCCAGATGAGTGGGGGTAGACCCAGCTGATCCTGCCAGTGCAGCACTGGCCCATGGGGCTGGATCCAGCTGCACAGAGATACCAGTACTCCCCAGCCACCAAAGTTTCCTGAGCCACAGGGATTCCTGTGGGCTGGATCACATGGCTCTGCAGGCCATATCTGGCCCACAGGCTGGCAGTTGAGCATCCCTGGTGTATACCATCAGAGCAGGGATCACAAGACTTAGTTTGTTAAACTGCATTCACACCAACTGATGCCAAAGTTCAGGATCAGTATATGGAAGATTCCCCTCCCCCCCAGTGCCCAAACCCAGACTACTCCATATGGTAACTAACCCAAGAGTAGTTTAACAGCAGGATCTACATTTATTCTGATTAAATGTAAAAAAAACAAAAGCAGATACTATGGTATTTGCATGTGTGGCTGAAAATATACGTGAAGAATGCAATGTAAAGTATAAGTTGAAAAATAACTTCCCCATTAGAAAGTATTTAGATTCAGCCTGGCTATATTATTATTTTAAATATTTTTGCACTCTCAAGAATCATCCTAGGGGGTGAGTCCTGCATTTGAAAATAAATATTTTACCCTGGATAGTGGCTAAATCGATATTGCCTGTTCAAAATTTCAAAATATTATTTTTCGGTGAGATAAATCAAGATGATTTTCATGGCTCATAGTACAAGCTGCAAAAAAAGTGTCTGTTTTTGCCTCTTTTTCATCTGGCAATAGCTTTCTAAACAGCAATGCAGTTTTCAAAAAGCCTTATTGTTTGGAGGGGTCTGCAGACAGGAATACAAATTTACCAAGTGGTGAGAGATTATCTAGATCTGGAATGTCCTAGCTCCCCTCCCAACTGTCTTGTTTAAATTCAGCAGTTCCAAGTCTTAAAAAAATTCTAAGCTCCAGAATCATCACCCTGCAGATTCCTGATCCACCCCCACCAAGTGACTAAGCAGTTTAGCCAGGTATGTAGAGAATTCTGTAGAACAGACAACATCTGGTGTTCTGGGAAACTAAGAACATCTGGTAGTTTACAACTCTTTTTACAGTACATTTATACAATATTTACATTTCACAAACAAGTCTTACCTGTACAGTTCTTAAATTCAATGGCTCTATGCTTCTGCAAGTGCTTTCTCAAAAATAATACCAGCCCACTTCTATTTACAAATTAGCAATCTGTTTCAGAAACAGCATGATTTTGCTATAAAGTGAAACTTCAGTGCACTGAAAGTGCAGCTCACCATTTAGAATTTGTTTCTCTTCCCACAAAACCTTTGCATGGCAGCACCCAGTTTTATACAGTCACAGTTCAGCTTTATTCATCATAATGAAGAGATAACAAGAACTTGTCCACATCCATTCCAGCTGGAAAAGAATTTGGAAGCTTCTTTTTCTGTCAGGAGGAAAAAAATGGCTCACATTAAAACCGAAGCCAAAGAATATGAAGGCGAAGAAGAGGTTTGCAAACATCATGGATCTTGCTTTATGTTTTCCCATCTCCATTACCATGGAAATAGACATGAGGCTTATTCAGAAAACAAGCCATGCTTGCACAGAATTACTGTATGGAAATATTTTCATTGTATGTTCCCAGTAGCAGACATACAGCACAAGTCAAGAACTAGGAGACAGAAATAGATGTATTGCTTTCAGACACATTTCTTTGTTTGTATGATCCAAGTTCCTACATTCACAACACATGGATTAAGCTCATCACAATGGGCCGCCTCTGGGTAAAACATGTTATACGGTTTAATATTCCAAATTACAAAAAACAGATGTGCTTTATATTATAATCTATAGACTACTTTTTAATCTCAAGTAAACGTCTTTGCAATTCACCACTGTATCTAACATCCAAGGTAACATTTCAAATTATATGTGATTTTTAGTTGCAGTGCCTTGTGGACATGAGGAAAGGCTGAACCCCAGGCCTGCCCAGTACTGGCTTAAAATGCAAGTGGTTCATTTTTTTGCAATGAGTAAGTTTCTAAGGCTAGGGACAGACATTCAAAAAGCCTGAGCCTGAATTGTTTCAACCTCTGCAGGTTAGTCTAACCTGGCTACTAGGCTGAGCTGATTTGTAACTGCACAGACATGCAGGCACATGCCTGCAGTGGCTCAGGCTAGAAACCGGAGGGGTGCTAGAGCAGCCCTCCGTCCCCTTTCCACAGCACCAAACTGAGGGGGGCGTGGCCAGGCTCCACAGGATGTTCTGATTACCCCAGCAGAGAACTGGTAACAGCGTTCACCCCTAACTCCGTGTTCATCACAGACATTACCTGTTGATTCAGTACGGACGGTAGCCAGCATGTGGTCTGCTAGCTAATACATACACACCTTCTCAGCAAGGCAGAGGGGAGTGGCGGGGAGGGGGAAAGCAGCCCAATCTCTGCCAGAGCTGCAACCAAGCAGCAGAAGGGAGGGGCCAGCCCTGCTGTGGAGCA